ATATACACATCATCATCTTTATACATTCATCTGTCAATGGACACTTAGGTGTTTTCATGTCTTGACTATTGTAAATAATGCTGCTCTGTACATGTGGATGCAGATATCTATTCGATACAGAGTTTTTATTTCCTTCAGAAATATTCCCAGAAGTGGAATTGTTGGATCATAGGATTTTTTATTTTTTTGGTGTGTGGGTGTTTTTTGTTTGTTTGTTTATTTTTTATTCTAGAGAGACAGGAAGGGAGAGAGAGAAACGTTGATTGGCCACCTCCCAACCCAAAGATCAAATCTGCAACCCTGGTATGTGCCCAGAATTGGGAATATAACCTGAGACCTTTCTGGTGCATGAGATGACACTGACTGAGCCACTCAACCAAGGAGTAGGGTGGTTCTACTTTTAATTTTTTGAGGAAACTCATTAGGTTTCCATAGTGGCTGTACCAGTTGACAATTTCACCAACTGTACGCAGGGGTTCCCTCCTCTCCACATCCTTGCCACCTTTTGTTTTCTCTTGACTTTAAAAAAAAAAAATTTATTGATTTTTTACAGAGAGGAAGGGAGAGAGATAAAGAGTTAGAAACATCGATGGGAGAGAAACATCGATCAGCTGCCTCCTGCACACCTCCCGCTGGGGTTGTGCCCGCAACCAAGGCACATGCCCTTGACCCAAATTGAACCTGCGACCCCTCAGTCCACAGGCCGACGCTCCATCCATTGAGCCAAACCAGCCAGGGCTCTCTTGACTTTTTTGATGCCAGTTATTCCAACAGGCTTGAGGGGATATCTCATTGTAGTTTTGATTTGCATTTCCCTAGTGATTAGTGATGTTTGAGCATCTTTTCATATACCTGTTGGCCATATTTATATCTTTGGAGATATGTCTATTCAGGTCCTTTGTCCATACAGCAGTGTTATTTTTTTGCTATTGATTTGTATGAGTTACTTATATATTTTGGATATAAACCCCTTATCAGATATATGGCTTGAAATATTTTTTCCTGTTCCATAGGTTGTCTTTTCATTTTGTTAATTTTTTTTTGCTGGGAAGGAACTTTTTGTTTGATGTAGTTCCACTTGTCTAATTTTTATTTTGTTGCTTGTGCTTTCTTTAGGTGTCATCTAGAATGTCATTGTCAAGACTCATGTCAAGTAGCTTTTTAAAAAAATGTTTTTATTCAGAAAGAGGAAGGGAGAGGGAGAGAGAGAGAGAAACATCAATGAGAGAGAAACATCGATTGGCTCCTATGTTTTATTTAAGGAGCTTTAAGATTTCTGTTCTTACATTACTATGGCTTTATAATTTAGTTTGAAATCGGGAAGTGTGATGCCTTCTGCTTTATTCTTAGAATTGCTTTGGCTACTTGGGCACATTTGTGTTTTATATAAATTTTAGGATTGTTTTTATACTTCTGTAGAAAATGCCACTGGAATTTTGATAGGGATTGCATTAAAAAAATTTTTTTTATTTTTTTTATTCAGCAATATATTTTATTTTATTTTTTTAAATTTTTTAAATTTTTTTATTTTTATTTTTTTTTAGTTTAAATGCATTTTATTTTTAGACAACCTACATGACATGTTTTTTCTTAAAAACAATGACTTTGCTACAAATAAATCAAGGTCAAAATGAACAAAGAGCTCAAGATAACATCAGTCCCATTTGGATGAAAAGCAGCAGCCAGTTATGATGACAGGTGATAGATCCAATTGCCAAATTTGTTAACATTTTCCCATTTCTAAACCACCTTTAAAGAGAATTACACCATTCTAATGGTAGTCCAGCAGAGCAACCATGCCATCTGTACTCATGTTTTCATCCATAAGGAACTCTGGTCTCTGTTCTTCAAGCTTCCCTTTGATTGATTGCACGTAATCTTTGATGCACTTCTTTTTTTTTTTTTTATTATAAATCTTTATTGTTCAGATTATTACAGTTGTTCCTCTTTTTTCCCCCCATAGCTCCCCTCCACCCAGTTCCCACCCCACCCTCTGCCCTCACCCCCCCAATGTCCTCATCCATAGGTGTATGATTTTTGTCCAGTCTCTTCCCGCACCCCCCACACCCCTTTCCCCTCCCCGAGAATAGTCAATCCACTCTCTTTCTATGCCCCTGATTCTATTATATTCACCAGTTTATTCTGTTCATCAGATTATTTATTCACTTGATTTTTAGATTCACTTGTTGATAGATGTGTATTTGTTGTTCATAATTTGTATCTTTACCTTCTTCTTCCTCTTCTTAAAGGATACCTTTCAACATTTCATATAATACTCGTTTGGTGGTGATGAACTCCTTTAGCTTTTTCTTATCAGTGAAGCTCTTTATCTGACCTTCAATTCTGAATGATAGCTTTGCTGGATAAAGTAATCTTGGTTGTAGGTTCTTGGCATTCATCACTTTGAATATTTCTTGCCACTCTCTTCTGGCCTGCATAGTTTCTGTTGAGAAATCAGCTGACAGTCGTATGGGTACTCCCTTGTAGGTAACTGACTTTCTTTCTCTTGCTGCTTTTAAGATTCTCTCTTTGTCTTTTGCCCTTGGCATTTTAATTATGATGTGTCTTGGTGTGGTCCTCTTTGGATTCCTTTTGTTTAGGGTTCTCTGCCCTTCCTGGACTTGTAAGTCTATTTCTTTCACCAGGTAGGGGAAGTTTTCTGTCATTATTTCTTCAAATAGATTTTCAATATCTTGGTCTCTCTCTCTCTTCTTCTGGCACCCCTATAATTCGGATGTCGGTATGCTTGAAGTTGTCCCAGAGGCTCCGTACACTATCTTGATATTTTTGGATTCTTTTTTCTTTTTGCTTTTCCGGTTGGGTATTTTTTGGTTCTTCGTCTTTCAAATCTTTGACCTGATTCTTGGAATCCTCTTGTCTGCTGTTGGATCTCTGTATATTATTCTTTATTTCAGTCAGTGTATGCTTAATTTCTAGTTGCTCCTTTTTCATAACCTCGAGGGTCTCACTTGATTTCTTGAGGGTCTCACTAAATTTATCGGCGGTTTCTACAAAATTCTTGAAAAACCTTATAACCGTGGTTTTGAACTCTATATCCAGTAGTTTGCTTTCCTCCATTTCTGTCGTTTGTGATCTGTTTCTTTGTCTCCGCATTTTGGCTGCTTCCCTGTGTTGATAGAGTGGCTTTGTGTGCTAGGTGTCCTATAGGGCTCAGTGGCTCAGCCTCCCCAATTACCTGAGGTGGACACTCTTGGTGCACCCCCTTGTGGGCTTTGTGTACAGTCTTGTTGTAGTCTTGTTGTAGTTAAGCCTTGATTGTTGTAGTTATCACTGGGAGGAATTGACCTCCAGGCCAATTGGCTGTGAGAATCAGCTGAGTCTGCAGTGGGAGAACTTCTGTGCTGGAGACACCCTTATGGGGCAAGACTTGCTTCAGTGGGGCTTTGGTGCTCACTGAGTCTGCCTCCTGAGTGTGTCCCTTATGGATCTGTGGAGTTGTAATTTGGATGGTCCCACTCTGACCACTGGGTACACGGGCTCTTGGATCTCTAAGGAGGGTGCTAATTTAGCCTCTGCCTGAGGCTACCCAGCAGGAGCTACAGAGAGATCTGCAGATTCCTCTTTCTGGTTTGTGGTTTGGAGGT